CTCCTCTCAATCCATTCTCAGCCCAGCCTGTAGCTGTACTTGGGATTGAGCCAATCCATGTGCAGGACCTTGCACGTGGCCTTGTTGAACTTCCTGCCTTGTTGAACTTGGCCCTGTTGAGCTTCATGCAGTTCGCATGGGTGAACTTTCTTCCTTCTGAATGTTTCAGTTCAACACTATCATTACTGACAGGAGTTTGAAAGTCTCTCTGAAGCATTCTCCCAACACTACACATGCTGATTACCAACACCAGGAACTGGTCCCAGTTACATAAGAAATTTGAAGGCAGCTTCTGACAAAAAAATTCAAACCAAGTGACAACTTACCATTGATTAGGCTGCTGACCTGCGACACCAACTGACTAGATTTTTCCAAAAGATGGCATGCACTGGGATCCACTTCTCTGCTCCTCAAGCCCCGGTGATCACTCTGATGCTCCTCATGACTTGGTTTGGATGCATTACCGTAAGTGAGGTCAGGAAAAGACCTGGTCAGCTTCTGACTGAAGTATCTTTGAACGTCATCCAGCTCGCTCAAGTTTTTTCTGTAAGCAATTGTAAGAAATTTGGTAAGAGGAGGGGGAAAAAAAAAAAAGCCTGTGGCAGATTGGTTCTATTTGTATCATTCCAGACAACAGCATGTAAATATGCAAATACAAGATGAAGGGTTATTATTGGAAAATAGATCAGTAGGTAAATGTTGAGGTTGCTCTAAGCAAGAGGATAACACTCAAGAACAAATGCCAAATTAGCTATGAAACTTAGTCTGGAAGTTAAAAAAAAAAAAAAAAAGAGATCATTTTAAACTTACTTAATCAAAGGATGTCAGACTTGAGATGACCTTCCCAACAGAAGTCATAAAGCCAACAATATTAATTGCCTTTATGACTGAGCTTGATAAAAATCTGAGGATTTCTACCTGCTTAAGGTCTAAGGATTTTACAATATATTGCTTGAGGTAGCAGAGGAAGGGATGGAATGACTCAAAAAGTCTCTTTCAGTCCTATATTCCTACAGATAATAAATGTTCTTCTCCTAAAATTTATACCCGATTTAAATCTAGAATCTAGTCAAGAGAAAAGTGCTCCTAGTAAGGAGAAAGGCATCCTGTTGGGAAAGGACATCCTGCTCCACGCACCATGAAGATGCTTACAGGCTTGTTCTTGTACCTGTGAAAACTAACTCTGAGAACTACTGCCTTTAAGCGTGTGTTGCGTTATAGATGTACACGGATGGATGAAGCAAAGCATTCCATCCAGATTTGGAAACACCGCTGTTGCTGTTTCCCTTCAGAGACTCACAGCGTTGCCAGAGCCTCAGTCCTAATGCAGAGTTGTCCCCCTGGTTCCTGCTTTTCCAATCTCATCCTGACACTGATATCGCACTAATACCTCTTAATCACTTACTGTATATTTTCATTTCCTTTAAAATTGGACACAAGAATTCTTCAGTTTCAAACTCTGCTTTGCAAACCTAAGGCTTTGAATTACCTTGCTGGCTACAGCTCTGCTTTACCTGAGAGCAGTTAGAAGAGAAGCGCGTGATGACAGAGATAACGAGTCCATCTTTGCCGCCCGGTGCGCGTTCCCTTCCGTTTGCTGCAGGGATTCGTGAAATCTGCGCACGTTCTGCATATGCTCGTCGTGACGAGGCGCGTGTGTTCCAGGGGGGCTAATTCTGCTAGAAACAAGCCTATGTTTAACAACAGAAAACAGGTTGAAATATCTAATTGTGAAAAGTCTGCCAACTAAGAATATCCAACATCTTTAAATGCATTACAGAGCCACTGATGGGTGAAACTAGCTCCTTCAAACGTCATCAAAAATGGCATTTACTGTTTCAGATTGACACTAAAATAAAGTAAACTCTCTGCGCTGGTTAACAGTGTGGCTGACAGGGAATTTGCAATGTCTGTTCAGACCACAGATGGTGGCCCGCGGTCCCTCTAAACTTCAGAGACACACACAGGAAAAGTATAATCTCCTACATATGCTAAATAAACACATCATGAATTAAAATGCTCTCTCTCACATGTTGTTAGTTAAATATAGAAACATTGGTGCTTGTTTTAAGGGAGAAAAAGCAGGAATTGCTGCAGGATATCTGACAGTCCCAGTCCTGGAATGTGCAATATCGCAGCATTTCACCAGCTGTCATTCACCAGCCATGGACAGGAGTTACAGCAAAATAAAGAGATGTATCAGTAATGCTCTATTCTAACTTACTCTTATTATCTTTATTAAAAATAAAACTAAACACAACCCTTATCCTTATAAAGGCCTGGAAAAAGTAACTGCCGGTTTTAGCAACGGCACAGTGTAAATCTTGATGTAGAAGGGTGTAAATGAAACAAACCAGGAAACATCAGTGAGAAGAAACAAAAATCTGAGTTTTGTAGAAAGACATCTGCCTCAGGATTTCTATCTCCTGGGCCACCCTCTCACTGGTAAAGGGCATTTGGTATAATCTTTAAGTCGAAAACCAGGGAAAGACCTTTGATAGGGCTTGTTATTTTTTTTTAGAAAAGTCAATAGCCTTCAGAGAGGGAGATTTCTGAGCCCTGAAAACAATCAAAGTGACCGATAGCTGCCTGACTTACCGCTCTCGAGTAGGAACGCTGACTTCCTTTGACAAGGTATTCAGCATCTCCTTGGAAAAGTTTGTAGCATTACTGGAAAATGTTGGAAAGCTGGGCTTCACCTAGAATAAAGAGGAACACCACACATGAACCTTTCATAGCAAGAAAATAGAGAAATTAAAGCAGTATCTTGCTGAGCTAACAAATAAATAAGTTTTTTAAATAGCTTTAAATTTTCAAAGGATTTTCCAGCACTGAACCAAAGTACCATTTAACAACACTCTTATTTCAGAAACATTTGTTAATTCCACCCCCCCACTACCAAAGAATAATATAGGGGCTCCATTATTCCCATATATCACACCCCAGCATAACTGGAAAGCCTAGAGAATAAAACAAACACAAGAAATGGCAAATTGGCCAGAAAAATAGATTTCTGCCCATTAGAAATATCCTAACCTGGGATAATAACCTAAAGGCTGAATTTACAGTATGTTTCAGGGTATCAGCTGCCAGCCAAAGCAGCAAACAGAACAATGCCAAATATCCAAACCCACAGAATATTTTCCTAAGAATAAAGACCCCAAAGAAACATTTCCACAAAGAAACGAGAGCAACAGAAGCCGCTGGAGGTGTTTATGTCCTAGGATTGAGTGAGCGCTGTAACTAGTGTTGGCCTGCAGCTACCACAGAATTAAACAAGGAATTGTTTCTGATATATTTACACAGACTGATCCATTACAGCGCTGTGAATTTGCTGTTCGCTCATTACTTTAGAAACACAGAGTCAGTGCTGATTATTAGGAATCTAATCAGATACGCGCAGGGGAGGAAACTGAAGTACGTACTGAAGAACTCGGTGGCTGGGTCCAGATCCTTGCCTGCCTTTCTTCTTTGAGATTATTTATGTTTTGAAGAGGGGAAATTGCTACTTTGATCTGCCCTCGGCACTGTCCGCTGAAGTCCGTGATATTGTACCACCCGCACACGAGCTGGAAGCCAGAAAGAAGAGGAGAAAGGTCCACTGATGCAAATCCTATCACTCGCTCGGTCTCTGGGGAAGAAGAATATAAAGCATATATTAATTTAAACTGCATGTAAATGGAACATTTTCAGGAACGCTAAAAATCAGTCAGTTATACAGCCTTTGAAATAGGTCTAGACTTTACAGGGAAAGACACCTTATACAACTGAAAAAATGGTTTAATAGCTGACAGCTCTCATAAGGTAAAGAGCAAGTAAAGAGTGGAACAAAAAATCTGGAGGATAGAAAACAGAGTTTAAGACAACAGAAACAACACTTAGATTTTGGTTGTTGACATGCTTCAAACTAGAGACCTATCATGTCCGACTGAGAAGCAGGAAAAATTGTTTGAAGCAATGAAACCAGCTTTCTCCCTATGGATTTGCCAAAACAGCTGTCCCTGTTGCAGTTGTTGGTAACCTGAACATCGGTAATAATTCAGAGCAGAATGAGGACCTTGCTGCAGGTGTAAGGAAGGACACAAGGGTTACGTACCCTACGCGATCGTTAATCAGAAGAACTAGGGAAACAAGGGTTGTAATAAAGGGAAAAATATTTAGCTGGTAAAAATAAACCTGGAGGCCAATCTGGGGACCTCAGCAAATGCATTCCTCCTCCAGAACTGCACTCTCACTTCAGAAACTCATGTTTCTTCCCTTTTCTTTTTGCCAAAACTTTCAAAACCGCTGATTTGTCATTACACTGTTGCATTTTTTGTGCAACATTTTGTCTTTTCTGTCTTGCAAATCTATCTGAAGTACAGAACAAACAATCTTATCCAAGAAGAGGATATTATTTGGATTACCTTAGCAGCTACATTCAGCTAAAAATGTCCCCTGCAGAAAAAATGAAAGACCAGGGTGGGGAAAAGGATTGGAAGAAGAAACAATGTGTACACATGGTACTCTGTATAATCCAGAGAAAGGCTGAGTTACACAGGAAGTTTATTTTTGAACCAAGAGAACTTTAATATGTAAAAAGAAAGGAAAAAACTCCGGTATTTTAAAGATCATGTCCTAGCAGTTTGAACTGAAGAGGTAGGGCTGTCTTCCCAACAAACACACAGATCTTTGTGCTTGCTTGGTACCAATTAAATATTGGAGAATCCGAGCTATCACCAAAACAAGCAAACACCAGTTTGAATTACTAGTGGCATCTTTTATCGTTTAACGATAAGCAGTAGGTTCAATAAAAATGCTTACAAAAAGCTTTTATGTTGTTAGGGTTTGAAACCCAAGGCCTTCAACTCATCCAGTGAATGCTGGGACTGGATACAGGAGCGATTGTTAAAATATATCCACGCCACTATAAAAGTATTTGATTACAACTGGCTGGCCACACTTCAACCAACTGCAGAGACAGCAAACAGCATACGAAAGACACAGTAAAGAATTTCCTTCACTGGGAAAATCCTACCTCTAAAGTCCCGACAAATTCAAAATGGAACCAAATCTTGCCAGATGATTAAAGGGGAAAAGAAGGATGATGAGGGGCAGAAAAAAATGGGTATTTATCTCTAGCATTCTTCTAGTGCAAGGTAAAAATGTTGTTACAATTCCACTCTCCAATTTACTTATTAGAATTTACTTTACTTGTATGAAATACTAGTCACCCAAGAAAAGGGATGCAGAAAAGACATTCCTCTCAATAGTGAACTATAAACTTTACCTGCTTTATGCCACACTTTGAAGACCAAGGTTTGCTGTGGATCCAGCAGAAGCTCTTTGGATAATCTGACAAGAAAAAAACCCCGTAATATTTTATGCAAAGTAGGAAAAAGAACAAGTACAGTAAAATGCCTCTGAAGGTTCAATGCCATTGTGTCTATCCAGACAAATCAGTTTCCTCCTGGAATGATGGGGGAAAAAACCCACAATGAAATCCAAAATCATTGAGCCCGCAAAAGCACAACTATCTTTACATGGTTTGGGCTTCTTCTCACTCAAGATATATTTCCCTTTCCTCACTCTTGTTGAAAAACGCACAACAAAATCCAAAATCATTGAGCCCTCAAAAGCACAACTATCTTTACACGGTTTGGGCTTCTTCTCATTCAAGATATATTTCCCTTTCCTCACTCTTGTTGTAAATTTAAAAGATAGGACAATGAAACCATGAAGAAATGGAAGTACAGTTTATCTCATGACTCAGTAACACAGTGACAGTAAAGCACTTGGGGTTATGGTTGAAAGCTGTAATATTTGGAGTTGATTTCTGGGGAAAAATAAAACCCTGAAAATTGAAGTGTCAAATGTAGAACAGCTTTTAAGTTGCCTGAAGCAATTCAGATACGGCTCTGAGCATAAGCAACCTTTGAAACAAAACTTAAATTTCAGCTATATCAGAGTCTTTCAATGTTTTTCATCTTCATATTACAAATTCCCTAAAGCCAAATCAGTGGCCTGGCAGAAAAGCCCACTCCTGTGCAGGCACTGGTATATATTTGCATGCATTTTGTGATGGGCAAAATAAATTCAGTTTGTTTTCTTATTCCCTGTAACAGACTTGTTCCACCTAGTTTAGAAAACCCTTTTGGTTACTGCTTTGGAAATTTAAATTAATTTCAAATCTAGTATAGAAACACTGGGAAAACCCCAAGACTGCAAACACAGGTTTATTACTGAATATTATCGTGTATGACTCGATCTGCTGAGGTTCCTTGGAGCGGTCAATTCATCTGCTGTAATTTAGGCTCAGATATCTAAGTCCGAGCTATGTTGCCTACACTATTTTGGCAGTCACTGGAGAGAAACAGGCATCCTTAGGGAATTTTGTCCTACGCTGGGTCTCTGACACAGGTCAAGTGACTCACCATCGGGAGGTGCCTGCGCCTCTCCAGCGACTGCAGAGGAAGCCAAGCCTGAAGAGCTCTGAGTCAGAAACCTAACTTGTAGATACATAAAATTATGGTAAGTAAATCCAAACTTAGAGCTCTGATCCCGAAACCAGGGCGTAATTTCTAAGCATGAAACAAAGCAAAACATACAGAAAAAGCCAATAAATTGGCTCAAGTCTTACTTAGCCTTGCCAAGAGTCCTTTAGCAATTAGCAGCCCCTTCCTCTAGATGAGAAAACTACAGATGAGTGGAAATAGACTGACTCACCCAAGATCTTAAACCAAAATACGTTGCAGCCAAGGTTCGGTGTAAGTCAGACTGCCCTTCCTCACATTAGCTTTAAGACCAAGCCTGCTCATACAACTTTTTGCCCAATATGAACATGTGGTGATCATAAAACATGGAAATAAGCATTTTAAGGTGAGAGCACAGGGCCAGTAAGTAGAAAGACACTCCTAATTGGATATGTCCTTTTCATACCAGATCCAAAGCGTGTCTGTGCGAGTCCACATCACTTACCTTGCTTGTTGCTGAAAGTCCCAGACCGGTGAGTCTGTATTTTCTATTACTGAAGTGGTAATCGGAGCATCTGCACCAGCAACAGCAAATGATACACAGCTACTGGGTGCTGTTACTTCACGTTCTGTCAAAGGGCTCCCTAAAATGATACAGAATTAAATACAGATTAGTTATTCAAACAAACAAACAAACAAACAGTCTCAGGCAGTACAGCAATTAAAACCAGACAATTAACAAAGAAACCCACCATCTAGGAACCGCTCCTTTTCATTGGTGGAGCTGAAAATATTTTGTATTTACAATGGGAGCAAATATTACATGAACCTTTTACAGAGCAGAAACTGGAATATTCAGGGGAGAAATGGAAAAACCACTCGTCCAAGATCATCTGAGAAGCCAGAGGCAAAGCCAAGAATAAAACCCCAGTTCCCAGGACCCTATTCCAGTGCTTCATCTCCCCTCCATGCTGGACCAATCCTAGCTGCAAACACAGAAAATACTCAGCGTTACAAAAGGCGGTTTGGCTTAACAGCTGGATTGCTGAGAGGAAGCTCACTTGTGTTGACTAAGATGACGCACACCCGGTGTTAAAGATACCCAAGGATTAAAACTTTTTTATATCCTCTATTAGTTCCTCTCAAAAAGACTGAAAGAGTTAGAGAAACTTAACATACCTGCAAGGTAGAAATAAGCACCACCCTCATCTGTTATAAAGGTTTAAATACAGAGGAAAAAGCAATATTTACAATTTTATTTCAAATTCTTGCTGGCCTCTCTTCCAATTTTCCCCACTGCCCTTCATATCTGTTGCAGAAGTGGGAGTTTGTGTTACAGACCAATCGTCGCAGCCCCCTGTATTTTCCCATGGTAGAAGCTTTGAGCAGGGACAGAGCACATGGAAAATAAAATACTGGTCACTACTACTACTTTAAGTGCACGTGTGCTCCCACCAGCCCTGCTCCGGCACCGGCAGGAAATTTTAGAGAAGAAAGCCTAGTGTAGATGTAGGTCTTAATATTTTGGCCAAAACATCAAAGTTTATATCAGAGTTAGGGAGGGAAAAATCAATTGCCTTCGTGGTCTAATCCAGGGCTTTAATGAAGTTGGTTTTAGGTAGCTTCAGGAAATACCAGTTTTAATCCACGCACAAACTAGACCTTTGTGACTGCCAAGCTAAGCAACTAGGATGGCATTCACTCCGCAATGCATCAGCCAAACCTTTAACAAGATTCCTTGTGTAAACATAGTTCAGGGCTGGAACCATAAGCATTTTCTCCCTCATTTGTCTTGAAATCACCTGGGAAAAGGTCTGTGAGAAAAAAGATGATGAATTAACTAGTCTGACTTAATTGGGTATGTTTGCACTTAGAGGTAGATAGTTTCTCATCACAAGAACGCATGGTCAAATTAAGGGATGGAGCTCGATGTTCGCCAGATGCTGCTGGATATTATGGGCTAGAGATTGTTGAACGAAAGCTGCAGAAACGATACAATCACTTGCAGTGAATTAATTACAGCCCAAAACAGAGACATGCTTATGGTCTCTTCCCTTTTGTACAAGACCATTCCTCCAGGCTTGGACCCTCTTAGTCATGTTTTCATTAGTGAGATTCATTTGCTGCAGCGTTATCATGGTTTGTAAAGCTGTAGCAGCATTTTACTGCTTACAGAGCTGTTCGGATGGTGAATTTGTTGCTGGCAAAATCTGCTAGGAGAAATGATCAGACTTTGCAACCAACTATCACGCAGTTATTACACATTGTTTCCTCCTTTCTGCCTTCCAAGGATCAGCATGTGGCTTTGGATTTTTCCAAGACCTTGCTGACCAGAATGATCAAAACTGATCTGCATGAATCTGATTTAACTAAAAATAATTCTCTTTTCTCCTGAAGTTTGATTCTCTGTGAAAATACGATCAAATATGACTGATTTATAGTAGCTTACTGAGTTGCTCCTCATTTGTGCCTTGAAAACGAGGATTTGCTTGGGAACAAGATTATTTTTTTTAAATATCCACAATGACTTCAGTTAAAACATACCACGCAAAACTCTTTGCAGTTTGATAAGACTGTAGATACAACAATTCAAACACAGACGTGGGCAATGTGAGCTCAGCTTAGAGAAACGACCAAGACCTGTCCAGACTAGCTCACAATCTCCCGCATGTAAAGGCAGATCTAAAATCAATCTCTGTAGTCAAAGGCATTTCTCAAGTGTTAGCTTTGCTTTTCTTCTAGCAAAAGAAGGACGATTGTCCATATGACGAAAGTCTCTGCAAGGAGCATCCTGGCAGAGAAGCCAGGAGTGGGAAGGGAAATTCCTTCCCTTTCGCTAGGGATGATTTTCTATTGGTAAATACAAGACCTAAATCCCAGCGAGGTCCACGGAGAAGCTGGAGCTGCTCTGTGGGGAGAGAATCCAGCAGCCATTCGCTAGTGGTGAAGCTTAACTTTAAAAAAAAAAGACAGACAGAAGAAAATGAACAGAGATCTGTTCCCTGGGGATGTGAGAACTATGTGGAAAAAGAGGAAAAACATGGCAGGAAGAGGTTAGCAACTGCAGATTAAAGTGACTTCAGTCCTTAAGAGATGCGTGGAAAATTCTGTTCTAATATTTTTCAAAACAGTGCTCAAAACAGTTGGAATTAAGTTAGAGAAAAGACCTGTTAGCTTGAACTTCTGCATTTTGTAGAACTTCTACATTTTTATAGAATTAATTTCATTCCTTTCCAATGTTATGAAATTTAGGCTATTTCTTTTCTTTATATTATTTGGAAGATGAAGAAAAAGAAAACAGGAAAATTGATTTTAGACCACAAGAAATATGAAGAGGCTTGGGGAAACATTTTGTATCTTCACTCAGTTTTTGAAAATTGTGTATCTTAAGTAATTCTTCCAAAATTGCAGGAAGTTTATCATCCGTAACATACTGGACTGGAAATGTATTCCAGCCTTTTTATCTGTAACACAAAAATGAAATTGTTATCATGAAGAATGAAAATTCTTCTTGAAATCAGCTTATATTGCATTTGTTTCAGTGTATCACTTGCCTCTCAGTTAGTTACTTCTAAAAATCCCCTAAAATGCTAAGTTGTTTGAAGATGGAAATATTGCAGTAGTGTACACCATCAAAAGAAACGTCCTTTATCCCATCGAAATCTTGCAGTAGCAAACAATGTTGCATCAGGTTTCCAAAGACTATGAATTCTAGATTAAAGATTCATTATAAAAAAAGCCATCCGTGGGGCTCAGTATGTATCAGAATTACACTTCAATCGTGGCTTATATTTGACTCTTTTAGTTGTGTTTTAGTTGTGTTACCACACCATAAAACGCTGAGCGTTCCTTTCTGGCCTATCACCCGGACTGTGAAACAGTTGATCTTAACAGAGACTCACCTGGGCTTCAGTTCCTTATTCCTATTTATTTAGGTAACGCGCAATGGCCCAAACAAGATCAGATCACTCCAAGCACTGAGCAAACACCAAGTGATCAAGTCATGCAGAGGTGCCCAAGGTGCAGGGCAGAGCACTTGATGTGTTTTAAAGGGTTTAATTCAGCTTTAACAAAGAGATTTATTTACAGACTGCAACTTGAGGGAAACCCAAAAGGCTCCAAAAACCTGCAAATTCACCAAGTGTGTTACGTCACTGCACATCAAGAACCAAACACCACCTGCTAGGAAGGAATATTTTAATACACTTAGCATAAATTTACAAGCATTCAGTGACCCTCGGTGTAGTGACTAGCCACCGGGAAGCAGTGTGTCAAGCCTGGGCAAGCTCAGGCTGCTCTGCCCTTACACTGCCCTTCCTCACTGGCACTCTCCAGAGAGCACGAGTAAGCCAGCTTTACAAATTGATTATACGCTAAAAATGCAAATTTGCAAGAGCCTTTGAGATATGAGTGTCTTGGGGTTAAGTTGTTCAGATAATGCTTAACTTGACAATTCAGCTGTCATCTGTAACAGTGAACATTATATTATTTCTATTTTGGATTTTATTAATAGACATATTTTGGATTTTATTAATAGACATAGGCTGAATAGTTTAACCTCGCGCTTCCCCTGTACTTATACAATGATGGAATGCTCTTGCTCTCGGGGTTGCAACACAACAAAGCCAAGTTCAAAATCCATCACATCCACTCACCGTGCTGGAGTGGGTTTGAGGATTTGTTTTTCAATTGCTCCATGCAGTAACTGTTATGAACAGATCCCAGGGAAAAAAAATAAATAAAAGGAAGAAAGAAAAAAAGGGCAGTGGTGTTACCTTTTAAACTTAGATGCATTGCTCTCTCCACAAGGATATTGACAGCAACTGTGTTTTCTAGAAACATCACGTCGTCTTCTTGTGGTTTGTCGTTGGTGATTTCTGAACTTACGATATCCGGTTTCTGACTCTGATTTTCAGTGCCCTGTTGGCTCAGACCAGGTGCTTTCTCTGTGCCTTCATCTTCACTGTTGCTGTATTCCTCAGCACAGTGAAGTCTGCTGGGCAGAGCAGAAGTGGAAGAAAGGGCGATGTGAACACGTACAGCAGCTCCCGCTAGGTTCGCAGCGTTGCATCTGAACAACGGATAAACCCCTGCAAGAGAATTCACAACCAAACAGCTAAACAAGCCAAAGGAAAACTAGGATCTTGGAAAACAGCTGGTACAGTTCGTTACAGTAAAGATCTCACATCAGACCAGCAGAATGAATTTTGATTTTCAATGTAATTTCTACACAAGGTATCACCCAGCACGCTGGTAGAAGTATCAGCTTGTAAAGGTTAAAAGCAGGTGACCAGTCCCCCAAACTGGGTACGCCTTCCTTTTCCCGCTGGCAGCACAGATTACTATTTTAAAGCACATCAACTTCCCGAGCGTCCTGGGTATAATGCCTCTGAATAATTTTATATTCATATATGGAGAACACAACATACACACAGCATAAACATTTGTTTTACCTCTTGTTCCTTCTCCCTTCCCTGAGCACACTCAAAAGAAGAACCAATGACCTGTCCACAAATCTACCTGCAAGCTGGGGGCTGATGGATACCACGTAGATGGCAGAAGCCTAAGTAACTGAATAAAGTGGAACTTTCCACGACCTTCTCGGTGCTTAGTCATTTGCTCTGACTGCAGGCATTCAGCCTCCTAGAGAGACAGCATTCTTACTGCTCTTCACTCTATTATGATGCCAAATAGGTAATTCTGAAGAAACATTCTTCATTGATCCACGTAGGCTAATTGCTCTCCCTATTACTGATCATTACTGCCAATTTGTCATCTATTTAAACTTCCTAAGTTTTGAATTCAGAGCAGCAAGCAGTTTAACCTTGTTTATCTTTAGCGAAAGGAGGAGTTGAATGCGTGTTGCATACAGGACAAAACAAAGCTGTAAAAGCTTTACTTAAAGTGACTAGAGAAGTAACCAAACTAAAACGTCAATAAGGAGGAACAAAACATGGCAACATTCTTTAGGAACTTACCACTAACACTTAGTGTTGTCCTTGACCTTTCTGCTAATGCTGCGAGGTCTACATAGGCAGATCCAATAAGACGATCTGTATCAAGTGGTCTTTCCACATCATTTTCTTTACCGTATGCCCACCACACTTGGATTTCTAATTTCTCCTCCCTGAAGAACCAAAGCAATCCTTGGCTCCTTCTCAAAGTCATCTTGTTTGGTTTCTTAAAGTTCACTGTAACGTTCTCTGTGTCGTCACTCAATTTTGGCCTCCGAAGCGAAGTCCACGCGGCTTCCTGATTATATAGCTTATACCTGAGGTAGCAATAAGTGCTTTTATTTAGGTGCATCTGGCCTGTGAGCAGCACGCAGTGGACCGGCAGCCATACTCTTGGAGTTGAGATGCTCACGGTCGCTGGATTGGCGTTCTGCTCCCATTCATCACTATCGTCCGTGCTGTCTTCACGGCTCTCCTCGCTGTTCCATCCTAAGAGCTTAGCGGCCTCCAAAACACGCTCTCTGTCGTCCTGATGAGCAAAGGTAATAGAAAGTTCCAGTCCTCCCACAACGGCCTGCATGATGTTTGTGCAGTGTGACGGCATTAAATCTTCAGATAAGGTGACTGGGTACCAGCCTGTAATACCTTCAGGAGAAAAGATCATCATTAGACTTAGCCTACCTTTTAAAAACATCAATAAAGAATTTTCTGCTCTCTGGTCATTAGTCAAGGACCAGTAATTGAAGTGGTTTTTTCTTGTGAAAGTTTGGAATTTGTGAAATGATTTCTAACCTGAAAAAGCCACAAGTTGTTAGAACTCAGAAAACCTCACCAGTAGTTCTGATCCCAAAGGCATTTTACTTTCTAATTCATTAACAGCACTCATTTTACAACAAAACTATATCCCATGAATCACTAATTATAAAATTAGGCATTCTCAGTTTTTTTCCTCCTCTCTTCCCATTAAAGATAAACCCCAAACTTCATACTGGAGAAAACTAGCACTATACTGAGAATAAAGCAGAAATAACCAAGATGATAACTAAAATATTATTATTACAAGACATTATCACCACAAACTAACACTAGATAGAGGAGGTATTTTACCTTTAGTTTAAAAAAAGTTAATCCAACTGCTTTCTAACCTATCTAAGCCTTTGTTTCCAGCTTTGACATCTCAAAAGCAGTCATTGGTCCTCCACTGAATTATTAGTACTCTTGGACTTTCATCTTAAGGTAGAAAATAAACAGCACTGAATAAAATACTAAGGAGGTTAATATTCATTCAGCTACTATACATCCTACACCCTGAAAACAACAGCCCTTACATGAGTTTTCTAATACAGGATTTTTAATAATGGCACGTGCAATGTCAGAGAGAACTTTGGTCTAAAATAACCCAACAAAACAAACCCCCTAAAATAGGAATGAAAATTGTTTTAAGTAATTAGTATAGAGTTTACCCAGAATGTCAGCAGCGTAATGCTGCTGTATTACCTGATCTCCTTCTCAGCAGGTCTCTGGTTGGAATTGTGACTGTCCCAAGAAGATAATCTCTTGATGTCCGAGCTGCCAATGTCTCAGTGGCTGGAAAAGAAATCATTTTGCAAATACACCAAATTGGAACGCGAGATTTAAAAGTGAATCTGCCAGCATCTCCTTCGAAAGCAAGTTGTATTGCCTCAACAGCAAATAGCTCGGCTGCTATACGGAAAACACTTCTAACCCACAAAAAAAGGACAAAGTCAAAATGAATTGCCAAGCACATATCACGCCAAAATCCGTGAAAAACAGGGGCATGAAAATAATTCTACGGCATGCTGTTATGTTGTAAAAGAATCCTGCCTATCTGCCACAGGATTCTCGGAGGATTTTAAGCTGTCACTTCTCTGAACCTCCACTACCTCATTCATGAAGTGGAGGCAGTAAGACATGCATGTACAAAGGCAGGGTGCTACAAAAGTCAAGCATTATTGCTGTTAAGTGCATTAGCTTTTCATTTAAAAGGTGATCTTGATCATCTGGAGTCTTCAAAACTCATTGCACAAGGGGAACAGTATCTCCCAAAACCTTCTCTGAAGACAGTTTAGGTAATTACATCTATTAGTAACTGTGCAGATAGTCTCTCTTCTAAACTAAAAATCAAGGGGATCGTTCTGCAACAGCATTAAGTCATTGAAATCACTTGTCCTCCTTACCTGACTTGGTGGTCTGATGGTAGACAGAGAAGACGATGTTGGCAGACTGCAGGAGTTCCCCCAGAGAAGAGGCTTCTCCGCTACTTTTCTGAATGATGAGGTTACAAGGAAACTCTACATGGTGCTCAAACTCGGGGCAGAAAGTACAAGCCACAGCTCGTGTGCTGCGTCTCTCTGCCTCAGGTAGGAAGGAGAGGTGCACAGAGACATAAGCATTAACTCCCACACCCGCATAGTACTGGACTGAAGGGTTCTTTTGTGCCACAGCTCTTCATTTAGTATGTAAAAAGAAAAGAAGAAAAAGAATTAATATAATGTACAAGGAATCTAGAAAGCAAGGCAATTAAAGCAAAGGCTTGAAGTCTTCATGGTGAAAAGAATGGACAAAACAGTGAGTGTTGGAAGTCAGACCAGATGCGGATTCAGGCTGCATATTGGTTTTCACCGTATTTTTTTTCATCTGAACATCTAAGAACAGATAGGAAATAGTAACTATCACAAGGTCCATCACTGGTGGCTGTGCTCTTATCATTGTCAGGTTCTGAGACCAAAGTGGTTGAGAAAGTCCTTGGTACCTTTAAAAATATCCCATACTGTAGAAAAAGCTGTAGGCTAACTTCCCAGAGACCTGCTCCAGAAAGAATCCCAGACTTGTTTGGGTTGGAAGGGACCTCACAGCCCATCCAGTCCCAACCCCTGCAATGGGCAGGGACACCCTCCACTAGCCCAGCTTGCCCAAAGCCCCATCCAGCCTGGCCTTCAACACTGCCAGGGAGCCAGGGGCAGCCACAGCTTCTCGGGGCACCCTGTGCCAGGGCCTCAGCACCCTCACAGGGAAGGATTTCTGCCTCCCATCTCATCTCCATCTCCCCTCCTGCAGCTTCAGGCCATTCCCCCTTGGCCTGTCACTCCCTGCCCTTGTAAAAAGTAAAAGTAAAAAGGAAGCAAAAGGCCAAATTATTTTTATAGTATTTACCAGTACTGGCAAGCAAAAGGGGTGAAATTAGCAGACGGAATTATTTAAAAGTAAAACAGACCCAGGTGTTACTCAGGTCGTACACCTGAAGGATGAGGAGTCTGAGGTCATTCCAGTTTCTTAACTTCTCCAAGCACCATACAATAGTGATCCTCATCTTACAGAGTCTGCTTGAATTCAGATAGATCAGGAGCTCAGTAACGCCAAGAAAGGGTCAGTGAGCACTGCGCTAGAACGACAGGAGCCATCCTGCTCTCATGGCATTGACTCCCTCTCTTCTAGTTCTTTATTTATTAATTCTTGAAAATCACATATTGGAACTAAGTTCAGGTGATGCCATGCACTTAGAGCAGCAGCCTTTTGGTGAAAAGGAACATGTATCATTTACTAGTTAGTTTATCGATGTTTCCACAGTGAAATTCAAGAAAACAAATCTCAGCTAGCTTTTAAATAGCACCAGTATCATCAAGATCCAATGCCCAAACGAGTACCATTTTACATCAGCCAATTTTTATATAAGCCTTTGGTGTAGAAAAAGGTGTAAATGTAGAAAAATGTGCCCTTACAATCTCGATCCTTCTGCAGAACAAAGGCTACCACACTGTACTGCAGCTTAAGGGACAGAAATAACCACTGATGTTCTTTATAAAGTTATTTTCACTTCAGATCAGAACCCACTTTGAATCTCGGTCTCTGCAGATGGAACGTTGGCCAGTTACAATTTGTTCTAATCTAACGTCGCAGCCTGCTGCCTCCAGATAAAGCTATTTTAAGAGAAAAATCTTCCTCTTTGAATTAGGCTTTACCTAGCTGCTGCTTGCAAGCCAGCTGCTCTGTGTATTTGTACAGAGAGAGAAACAGCTTGAGCAGTTATGCCTGCTGCCGTTTTCATGGATCGTTGGTATCTCACACTCACATCAAGCAAGCCTGGATTAAATGAAAGAAAGGAAAGAAATGGTCAGCTTTTCATACAGATACATCCAATATAATCAGTACTTAGTTATACCTCTTAATACAGAACTTACTCTATTCAAGCAAAAAAAAAAATTCCAGATGAAATCCATTGAGATTGACCGTGCAAGATGCTGTACTTCAGCCAGAAGTTACGACCTGACACAAGAGGTACAGAAGGAAATTTTAAGGACTGCATCCTGCAACCTGACCTACAGCCAGATCAGATGGTCTTAATGGCTCCTTCTCATCGGCAAATTTACGGCATAGTAAAACTAGGAGAGGCTGTTTAACCCAGCCGCGCCCTCATGTGTGCGTTCATTGTAATAGTTTTAAAATACTCCACTGTAGTATTTCAAGACATCTTTTTTATAGCGTTGCAGTGACAAAATCTTCAGAGAGACAGATTTTCTGCTGCTGCATGTGGCTAACCTATTACAAAATAATTAAAGCATGAACTCCTGCTCCAGCCCAATCTTTTTTATCACCATTTTTTCCAAGAAGCTGTCTCAGATTTCCTTAGCAGCCTTCCCAGAGCTGAAGTTTGTGTCATTTGAAAGAACGACAGCAGAAGAGAAAGACTTCTTTGCCCACACCATGTACCATAAAAGCTCTTCTTCAGATCTCCCATTCCCTACCTTACATGGGAAGCTTAACAACAAACTGTCTAATTTGGCAGCTAAGCAGTTCAATACACAGGCAGGGCTTTTTTAAACTCATTAGGAGTTTGAGGGTTGCTCATGTTTAATCACTGATTCTTCACTAGGTATGGTGATAGTGAAAGCTGGGAGGAAAACCAGTCCTGGTTGATATCAATTGCCAACACAAATCCCAGAA